CCAAACCCCCGGCTCAGAGGACAGGGGTTTTTTCCAGCCGCTCCTTCCTAGGGATGGAGCCAGAGCTCCGTGTCTTGCCCTTCCCCCGCCCGCCGACGCTGGCACGGCGTTCGGGGAAGCTTTCGGCTTTTTCGCCCGATTTCACCCAGCGCCACGTCTCCCACCCCGTAACTCGGCCGGAACCAGCTCTGCCGGATTCCAGCTCTTCCCCCATCAGCCAGAGCCCAAACCGGCCCCACCAGCTGACGACGGACGTGGTGACGGACGCAGCTGCCCCAGCATCCTCACTCGCGCTGGTTTGAACGCAAAAAACCCAAATTTTGGGGACCTCGCTGCCACGGCTATATTTACACAAGGACGGAGCCCGGCGGGATGCTCCGGGCAGCCCCGTGCTTACCGCTCCGTAAAACGTCGGGGTCAGGTCGGGGACGAACATCTCCGGGTAGACGGTCTGGAGGTACCAGGTGAAGTTCTTGCAGTGGAGCCGCTCCCTCAGCTTGCGGCGGTCTGTAATGTCACCATACGTCTTCTATCGACAAAGTCACGTGAGAAAATTTAACCAACCTCCGAAGCCAGCAAGGAAAAAAAAAACAACCAGAAAAAACCCCCTCCCGAGCCGGGGCTCTGAGCCGAAGGGGTCCTCCCGGCTTTGCTGTTGTCCATCGCGGTGCGCCCGGGACCGAGAGCGGTGGGGGGGTCTTGCCAGACACCCCGGTCCCGGGCAGGGACCGCTCGCCCAGAGGGCTGGGACGTGCCGCCGTGCCACCACATGACATTGTGACATTGGAAAAATACAATTTTAAAAAGTCAAAAAATGAAAACACCTAAAAAATGTCTATGTTTTTCCTACTAGAAAATGTTCTGGCCCAATTAAAAGAAAAAAAAAGAAAAGCTTTTCGGCTACATCTTTCCACCTGCATTTGCTCTCCCACCTCCAGGCTAAGCCCACCTCCTCCCTCTGCTCCAGCCTGAGCTCCCAGCAGGATCCGGCCCCCCCGGGAGAGCCAGCAGCCCACTGGCGTGCCCGGTACCTCTCTGGCCATCTGGGCAGCTTGCTGGTTCCTCCTGTAGAAGATCTCCTTGTAGTCGTCCATCCAGACCTCGGCCAGGCGGACCTGGTTCCTGGAGATGACCTGGGTGCCCTTGGGGAAGGTGTGGGGGCTCTTGGAGCGGAAGACGTGACCCACGACGGAGCAAGGGATGATCTCGACTTGACCCCCGCACTGCCAGACCTATGGGGAGGTGACACCTGAGACGTGGGGGGGGTCCAACGGCCCCGTGGCCCCCCCAACAAGGGGCATCCCTGAAGACGCCCTTCGGAGACGGCGCCGACCCGGCCTTACCCTGAAGGACATTTCCACGTTCTCGCCCCCCCAGATCTCCATCTGATCGTCGTAGGAGCCGATGTGCTCGAAGTAGGACCTGGAGATGGCAAAGAGGCCACCGGCGAAGGTCGGGGACCTGCGGAGGAGGGAGAAGCAGAGCCTGAAGCAGGGGAAAACAGGGCAAAAATAAAAATAGAAAAGCAGAGTCTGAGTTTTGGGGACATCGTGGCTCACACGGTGGGCACGAGCACTCTGCAGCCGTGTCGTGTCCCCCCCCAGCTCCCTGCCCCATCCAGCTGTGCTCCAGACGTGGTGGCTTTGGCGGAGGGACCGGACCCAGCTGCCGGGAGGGGACGGCGGCAGCGTGACACCGAGGGGCCTCGCCGCCGGCTCTCGACTCACAGCGAAAGGGGGATATTGTAACCGAAAACCTATCGCTGAAAAGCAGGGGGGGAGATTAGAGCCCAGCGCCCGGC